AAAAGTGGAATGTGTTGTCGGTCTTAAATTCTTCTTTCAAAGAAATAAATTGCATTTCCTGAAGCGCTGATTGAAAGATATATTCTGTCTCAAACAAACATAGCAGGCACACTCGTTTGTAATGGTTTAAAATATTACAACCTCCGGGGAGAGAATACGCAATACCACCCGCAAACTTTAAAACACATGACGTTTATCGACCTTGTGAAATACGAAAGTTGTACAGGCTATTTCATGTATCAAGTGAAATGTCTCCTTTCACGAGATGAGAGAAACATGATACTTCCCTCGACACATGGAATATCCTATTAATTGTAATATTATACCTTTCGTGTAGTTATCTACCGGAGTATTATTTTTGTTCATAACAAATTAAAACCCTACCTAACAGACAGGAAAGCGAAGGATTAAACCCTGTCAAATTAAAAAATGGCGCTTTGCCAAACGAAGTGTCGATTGACGAGTTAAATGAAACATTTACAGTGAATAACAAACTTTTTTTCAAGACAATAACAAACGGCAAGAAACGATATTAACTTTGTTATTATTTTGCCTTGTCAATGTGGAACTAACGTATAAAGGGAAGTCAACAGTTTGTGTACGGGTCAGACACTTACGATAAAGGGAGACAATTTGCGAGGAGATAACTCTTGTATGACAATATTTCCGTCAAAATTATGTTAACTGCAGTGAAATATCAAGTCTTATGTTGCAATGAAAATATAACATTCCTTGTGTTCTAAATTCCTGCATTCTGATCAGCTGAACTGGTCACGTGTTATTGCATTCATTTCCGAATGAATGTAAAACATTAAGCCACGCCCACCGAAGCGGACTACTTTTATTACTACTGAATGTCGGGGAATCCAATATTACAGTCGAGGGAATTCCTTCTCTGCTCACGCGTATCGACATGCACAGGACATTTAGCAAAATTCATGCATATTCATTGTCCAAGCAACCCTTTGGGACCGAAAGCCGAGAAGGAAAGAAACAGCAACGTGCAGGCTCGCTCGACTGTTTTTTCCCGCTCGCCTCGGTTCCACAACTTTCATGTCTTCGGGTTTCATTTCTAATTAGTATTTTTTCAACTGTGTCTTCCCGTTCTCAGGGAATTAATGTTCGAATCTGGCGGCAACTGAACATGTCTTTTGAAACAGCCACCTTCTCCCGGACATGTTTTTCCGGTTCGATACAGTCTGACTGTCGCCTCTTGCCTTTATTGACAGGTCCAATGAACTTTGTTTAGATTCTACTCTCCGTTGATTGGCTACCAACTTTGTAGGCGTGTCAAGATATGTGCATAAATTATACAATAACCTGATTCATGTCACGCCACAGTATATATTCCTACACCTGGAATGTTTATCCATCTCCATATAAACAACTGTGTTTGGTTAAACTATTGTATGCTTTCGTTGTCATATTTAATAATAAGCATTGACTGTGTATTTTTTTTCGGTTCATTGAGGTATGAATAGAAAAACTGATGTAACTTTTGTAAGAATCTTGCCCCATGAAACAAACAGCGTTTGTCGCCAAGCCAGAACTACTTTGTTGTCCTAATAACCGGGAAGCATGCAGTTCTGTAGGTAAACCTAGCCCCATAATGCAACAGTCTTGTCGTCACTTAAACACGACTTTCTGCGCCTAACGAACAATATTTGGAGTCACGTCAATGCTACTTTCTTCTTCTTGCAATCAGAAAACATCTGAAGGTAAAACTCGTCCAAGATGCCAACAACGTTGTCGTCACGTTAACTAATTTTTGTCCTGAAAATCAGGTAACATGGAGTTCTGTAAGTAAAATAACCATAGTCGTCACTTAAGGGACCGATCAATTGATATTTCAAGAATTTTCTTCTCCTGGCAAGCAACGTTTGTCGACATGTAAACGCTACTTTCTCCTCCTAACAATGAGGAATCATCGAATTCTGTAGAAGCAAATATGACACTGACTAAAAACGACCCCCTCACCCACGCATAATCGAATACAACGCCTACACGATCTTTTACGGGTAATATATCTTTCACATCATTTTTCTAAATATTAATTGGATCTTCTCAAATCAATCTTGGATTTATAAAAGTGCCAAAGTATACCCTCAAACGGAATATCTGATGCAATTATTAATTAACTATCATGTTCCTACCAAGTCTATATGTTTATATTGATTGTTTGTCAATTTTTATTGGCGTCTACGGCAGCGTCAACTGTTTGATGGAAACGAAGAAAGCCTGTACGCGATTCTCGCGGAATGTTGAACAAGAGTCATAGTTACCAGTGCCCTATATTGTAATGTCAGGTGTCAGGGGTACGATGTTAACGGGGATTTATTGTGGACAGTGATATCGAGAGAGTGAGTGAGTGGGTGTGTGAGTATGTGAGTGAGTGTGTGAGTGAGTGAGTGTGTGTGAGTGAGTGAGTGAGTGTGTGTGTGTGTTTTGGGTGGGTGACTGAATCGTTGAGTGAGTGAGGTTTTAACGCCGCTTTGCCAAATATAAGTGTCCAAACTGAGATAATGAAAAACCGGGATTTACACGAGTGTGTCTAAATATATATCAAATCAATTTCAAATTCAAATCGTACATGATTCAGTTTTTTTAGATCAAATTTGTCTAGAGATCCGTATGGCGGTGGTGATATAATGTTCACTGGTTGAAATTAACCTGCAGAAATACAACTATTCTTCGCGAAACCTAAAAAATATGACACTTACATTCCCTGAATACTTACTTATTTGCCTTAACGTTTATTAATGAATAATCGATACTAGCCCAAGGCTAGATCGTATCTCATAGATACACATAACGCAATCTCTACGTTGATTTCTATTCCGTCACCATTACACGCTGACATTTAATATATCACCGAGCCATCAGTTACCCAGAGGCATGGCGGTACGCCCTTGACGTCATGTTGTTACGGAACCCGACACTGAGATGGGGATGCTGATACAGAGTTAAAGCTGTAAACACAATTTGGCCGAACGTTTCCTCGGTGTCTTTTCCCGGCGAGGCCGATACCTACACTTCCCACACAGAAGAATGATAATGTATGTTTGCATGAGTTAATGTATGATCTGTGTGATGTCGCAGCGTGTACATGTACAAATACACAGTGAGTGAGTGAGTGAGTTGGGTTTAACGCCGCTTTTAACAGTATTCCAGTTACATCACGGTGTGTCGGTTTAATGTGGGAGGAAAGCCCGAAGTGATGCAGGTCTCAGACGTTTACCACTTCGGTGAAACCCACGAGCGCGGGTTAGTGCTGATTATCCTAGAAACATAATCGGGGCGAACCGGGATTCGGACCCACAATCACAGGTTTCTGGCGTGCCCAAGGGACGCAACTCTGCACAGCGAATCGCGGCGCCTTAGACGACTGGGCCACCCGTGCCCCCTATAAATGCATAGAATAAAATATGCTTTAACGCATGTCGACCTGTTGAGCTAACTTATTCGCACGAAGCCCCAGTGCCACCCAGGGATGGGATGCCACCAGAGGGAATTTGGGAAACTTTGTGCCAGGGCTAGACTAACATTTAGTCTTTGAAATGAACATAACTTACAGAAAAAAACAAGTTTTTTTTATCTGAATAAAGATATGATAAAAAGGAGCCCAGATACTCTCTTCATTTCCTGATACTGCAATAATCTAGACTTGCCAAACATTATAGACTTGCATGGGCTGTATTTGATATATTTGTATCAGGGTCTGTAAGACATCAGTTTGACTCTATGAAGGTCTCCAGAAAAATCCATCTTTCTACTATCTCTTTTGAGGTTATGCTCTTGGCCTATTATTAGGCAGGGGCCTCAAGTTTGGCCGCCGATAACCCTCATTGATCCTACAGCTGGCGATTAGCCTTCAATGACTGACATGGCATCACATACATCTACATGGCGCGAATGAAAGTTTCTTATTCTCAACATTTGGTCGAAATGCCATTCTACCGGTCATTAAGAGTGAGGGAGTGGAGTGAAGAGTGGTCATTAAGCGTGAAGTCAAGGAATACCAGAATCTGTAAGTAGCCTGAAGTGTTTTTTGTTGTAACTTTTGGGCACGTGCACAAAGTGGCCTCAGCGCTGCGGCGATCGTGACGCTATACTTTAACCCAAACTTAACTTTAACCGGTGGGGAAGGACACGCTCATGTTTTCGCGTACACCTGGAATCATCACTATTTAATAGTAATTCATTAACACATGTTGACGATATTTTCGCTGTCGGAATTAATCGTACAATGGAGTAAGGTTTTAGTTTATGTATGATTATGGAAAAGGTTACGATTGTTGTCGTGCTGACATCGCAAGTGGCCCCAGATGGGTACTTTCTTTGTTTGTTTGTAGGTTAACGCCGCACTCAGCAATATTCCAGCTATATGACCGCGGGCTGTAAATAATCGAGTCTGGATCAGACAATCCAGTGATTGACATCATGAGCATCGATCCACGCAATTGGGGTACGATGACATGCATCAACCAAGACAGCGTAGTCGCCTCTCACGACAAGCATAGTCGTCTTTCACGGCAAGCATGGGTTACTGAAGATCTATTCTACCCCGGATCTTCACGGGTCCCCAACTGGATACGGATTTGACGACCCAAATTTCACAGAATTGAAGAACGTTTTTTTCTTCTTCTCTTGGGGCACAAGTGTCCCAGTCTATTAAGGAGCCACAATTCGCGGTACAGAGTTGCGTCCCTTGGACACGCCAGAAACCTATTAGTGTGGATTCGAATCACGCCACGCCCCGACTATGTTTCAAGGTTTGTCAGCACCATACACGTGCTCGTGGGTTTCAAAAGAAGTGACCAAAGTGGTGAACGTCAAAGACCTGCATCACTTCGGGCTTAAGCTGACACGCCGCCATATAATGTTAAGCGGCGCTAAACCCAAACTCACTCACTCTCACTATCTCTTCTTCTCGTCTTTATCAAATTAACCTGCAACATTCACTTTGGGTGTTGATGGATAAAAATGCATGTCTTACTCACCCTGCCAAATATGATGGGAATAGCGAAGACGAAGGAAAACACCCATACTAGCACCGCCACCAGCCGCGCATGCGTGATGGTGCACACATATTTTGCTCTCAGGGGATACCGAATTGCAATGAATCTGAAATAAAAGAAAAACATGTCAGTGTGTTGAAAAACATTCACCTCGTAATTGAATATCAAGTGTAGAGAAATGCAACAACTACCTGGTTGTGTGTGTGGTACATTTGCAAAATAATTTGTAAGATAATCATGTTTTCAGGACACGTTGATAGATACCGGGAACTGAAATTACCTGCGCCGAAGGAAGCAGAAAGCCACTTACTCGAGTTGTAATTATAAACTTGGAGATTCTTTTTCGCTATTTGACCGCAAGCACGAACCATATTAGAAATCGCGTTGGGCAGAGATACTTTGTACTGTACTTTGATATTACAGTAATCAGAGGTGGGGTGAAATTGGGTTTAATTGCGCGTCCAAGATTAGTGCACTTATATAACGACGCGCATGCACTTGAGTGAGTGAGTGTGTGTGTGTGTGAGTGTGTGTGTGTGAGTGAGTGAGTAAGTTTGTTTGTGTGTGTGTGAGTGAGTGAGTGTGTGTGTGTGTGAGTGAGTGAGTGTGTGTGTGAGAGTGCGTGAGTGAGTGTGAGTGAGTGTGTGTGAGTGAGTGAGTGTGTGTGTGAGTGTGTGAGTTAGTGTGTGTGTGAGTGTGTGAGTGAGTGTGTGTGTGTGAGAGTGCGTGAGTGAGTGAGTGTGTGTGAGTGTGTGAGTGAGTGTGTGAGTGTTTGAGTGTGTGTGAGTGAGTGAGTGAGTGAGTGTGTGTGTGTGTGTGTGCGTGCGTGCGTGTGTGTGAGAGTGCGTGAGTGAGTGCGTGTGTGTGAGTGTGTGAGTGAGTGTGTGAGTGTTTGAGTGTGTGTGAGTGAGTGAGTGAGTGAGTGTGTGTGTGTGTGTGTGTGTGTGTGTGTCTCGTACTACTAGTCCAGACTGATTTATAGTGCTAGCTCACTCACTAGATACCATGCCGCAGTTTAACATGACTATACCACTCTTCTCAGTGGGAAGAAAACGTGCATCACTTTGCACGATCGAAATCCTGTTTCCACATTTAAATCCTCTCACGTTTTTTCGCTATGTTTTTGTTGATGACTAAGAAGTATCTATTAGAGTACCGGAGTCTCTTTTATAAATATTATAATACATCGTCTGTGTGAATACACTATTGTTTTTAAGACATGTGGGCATTTACACAAGCTTTTCATTGGTTCGTATTCATCTTATGATAACCTTGTAACCAACCCCCCCTCCCCCCGTCAGTATCCCCTGTTCGTGTGATGAGACCCCAGAATCGCCCCGATTATTAACCTTGGTACATTTGAACACCCTACAGTGAGGTGTTGCACATAGAACCAGCACCGGAACACCCTACAGTGAGGTGTTGCATCTAGAACCAGCCCCGGAACACCCTACAGTGAGGTGTTGCATCTAGAAGCAGTCCCGGAACACCCTACAGTGAGGTGTTGCACCTAGAACCAGTCCCGGAACATCCTGCAGTGAGGTGTTGCACCTAGAACCAGTCCCGGAACACCCTCCAGTGAGGTGTTGCACCTAGAACCAGTCCCGGAACACCCTACAGTGAGGTGTTGCACCTAGAACCAGTCCCGGAACATCCTGCAGTGAGGTGTTGCACCTAGAACCAGTCCCGGAACATCCTGCAGTGAGGTGTTGCACCTAGAACCAGTCCCGGAACATCCTGCAGTGAGGTGTTGCACCTAGAACCAGTCCCGGAACACCCTACAGTGAGGCGTTGCATCTAGAACCAGTCCCGGAACACCCTACAGTGAGGTGTTGCACCTAGAACCAGTCCCGGAACATCCTGCAGTGAGGTGTTGCACCTAGAACCAGTCCCGGAACACCCTACAGTGAGGCGTTGCATCTAGAACCAGTCCCGGAACACCCTACAGTGAGGTGTTGCACCTAGAACCAGTCCCGGAACACCCTACAGTGAGGCGTTGCATCTAGAACCAGTCCCGGAACACCCTACAGTGAGGTGTTGCACTTAGAATAATCCAGAGCTACCCTGCAGTAAGACGTGCACATGGCACCATGACTATACCCCCAGGCCACCCTGAATGAGGCGTGGCACCTAGAACCTACCCCGGGCCATTCTGAATGGCTCTTAGAGTTTCTTTCGGACACCCTTCAGTGAGGCAGGTCTGTTCCTGCTCCTTGTTGAACTTAAGAAGGTTACATCAACTGAGTCTTAGGACTCAAAAAGCAAATCTTTTCCTTTCATAACGCTGTTCATGAGTCATACTTCTGTACATTAACACTTTTGGTATGACACTATCATCAGGCACGACTGACAAACACTTTATTATTCAAACATGAATGTGTCGGATACGTAAGACGATAATGGATAGCTTCATGTTTTACACTCTCTGTCGTGTGCCGGTTGCTGTGGTGTGATTGATGCAATGTAGAAGCGATAAAGTCCAACCATTGTAAATGGTCTGATATGGTTCCACTTTTTAAGGGAAACGTTAGATGGAGGAGTAAACTTTGGTGAAGACGCTGTTTTTAACAGATTATATGTGTTCGCCATTATGTCCCATTAGTCAAACACCTGACCTAACGCCCGCTTTGCATGAAGTGATCACCGGATTTTTTTGTTTGCGATTGTGAAATGATAAGCCCGCCCTCTGTTTTTCCCTGCTACTCAACTCTGAAGGCCTGACTTGCATCTTCTGATAACATAGTTAAGTATTACCCGAACAATTTTCAAGACATTCAAACCAGATTGTCTGTCATATGTATCCACACTTTATGGATGTATTGACAAACAGTAATTCAGCATCAACTAGAATAATCATATTGGTTTATTCATTACTTGCCTTTTCTGAAGTCCTCAGCCGGAATATTACTTGAATGTTGAACGGCCTAAAACACCACTCACTCACTCACTGTTTACAATCATATATACATGTATATAGAGAAAATATGCCGATTCTCATTCTAAAAGAAATGCTATCATATAAATTACCTTTATACAGATCAATTTACTGGAATTATCGTATGTTTATGCAGATGGTAACACCATGATCGCTTGTAAAATTTGTATAACATAATGCTATTCGTGGCCTGATTCAGTAGCGTTTTGATGTCGATAGTTAAGAACTAGGTGTGTTTAAGCGTGTGAGTGAATTGATGAGTGAGTGGGTGAGTGAGGGTAATGCACGTCACAGACACTTTGGGGGCACGAATGACCCAGTCGATTAAGGCGCCGCATTTCGACGTGGAGAGTTGCGTACCTTGTGTCCGCCAGAAAACTATGATTGTGGGTTCGAAGCCCCGTTCGCCCAGATTATACTCACCGCCAAAAGAAACGCGAACTATAGATACATTTAGAGAAGTATGTACGTTAATAACAGATGGTTCAAATGTGTACTACCTAATGACAAAACTAACAATCAGTCAAGTGTTACCACAGTGTGTCTTTATTCTCACCACGATGTGCTGCACGTGATGTTCAGGCTCTACACGCTAATCCTGCGCGAGATAAATGGTGCATTTCGAGTCATGGGTCTATGACGTCACATGTGATGCGTTCATGAGCGTCGGTTCACACAGAATACCAATATGTTCTTTTGTGCGTTTAACCAATTTCATATCTCTTGAATATGAATAATTCGTCATATATTAACATACATTTATGGAATTTGCGTTTCTTTTGTCGGTGAATATATTTCAAAGTTTGTCAGCTACACACCCGTGCTCGTGGGTTTCACCAAAGTGTTAACGTCTAAGATCTGCATCACTTTGGGCTTTCATCCCACATAAAACTGACACGTGATACAACTGGAATATGTTCAAAGCACGTCAAACCAAACTCACACATCTAGCATGGTGAATGGAGAGTGCACCCAACCCTGTCCTCTAAAACTGTATGCCCGCTTGTATCGTTTATCAATGGCATGAGGTCTCTATATTAACGACAACTGCAACTTAAAGTGCAATCACTGCTGCATGTGTTGCACATCTCACACTGGGCAAAACACATGTCAGGAGATATGGACAACTGCGCTTGTCGATTTCTGAAGCCGACTCAAGGCTGCATCACTTTTGGACAACAGGAATTCCTAATGACTGTATTGACTACCCCTGCCGGTGGGTTATCGTGCCGACGGGCAGATCAGACACGCGGTGTTCAGCGCCACCTGGTGCTTTCAGAAACGATACTTTGACTTCAGAGGAGCGGGGTTTGGGTGCTCTATTTGTAGCGTGTCTGCGTGTGTGTGTGTGTAGCGTCCGTGTGTCTGTGTGTAGCGTGCGTGCGCGCGTGTATGTTTGATTCCCGTTAATCATGTCATGTTTGTTGTGCATTGCGCGCAAACACATCTCAAAATGTTTTTTGTAAACGTTTATCAGCCAAAATGCAAAGGATGCATGGAAATTGCTTTCAGAAAAGGTTTTCAGCACAATGCACGTGCAAAGTGTTGGAAACAAGAGTAGAGACACTGACTATAAAAGACCGTACAAAATTCATCAGTTCATTACGAATTTTCTGACGTGAACGGAGATCGAAAAATGCAAAGGGTTTAACTGCAGCTGACCGAAATATCGCCATTGGACGTTTGGAAGCAGGGGAGTCCCAGTCTGTCGTTGCAAGACACTTCAACGTTCACCAAAGCACTATATCTCGACTATGGGATCGATATACCCGCACTAATTCGACTCAAAATCATCCCAGAAGTGGAAGACCAAGAGTGACCACCCCTGCTCAGGATCGGTACATCCGGTTGCATCACCTTCGGAATCGATTTGCTACAGCAACGGACACTGTAGGACAAGTGCCTGGTTTGCGAAGAATTTCCGACCAACCATCAGAAATCGTCTGAGGGAAGTGGGAATTCGAGCGAGACGACTAAAGGTTGGACCTGTCTTGCGACGTCTACACTGTCAACGACGTGTCCGGGGGTGCAACAGAGTACAGGCATGGGATCTCAGGAACTGGCGACGCGTTTGGTTCAGCGATGAGTCACGTTTTCTTCTTCAACGACGGGATGGAAGACAACGTGTATACCGACGTCGACATCAACGTTTTGCGCAGAACTGCGTTCGA